TAAATGCCTGTTTCGATTGCGAAAAGAGTAAACACATGGTCACAGACTTTCCACAAAATAGGGGTAAGGGTTGAGGTATTTAGCCTAGCCCGAATCCCCTGAATGCTATTGCAGCACAACCTCATAAGAAGAGCAATTTCTATGCCTTGAAGGGCAGAGAGGAGTAGGAGAAGTCTATTGAAGTAGTCACAGGAATATTTCAAGTCTTCTCTACCTTTGTTTACCCTTTACTTGATCCAGGGTCTACTCTTTGTTTTGTGACTACCTTGCTTTATCTTACTTTTGAGACACTACCTGAAGTTTTTAATGATCCTATAGTAGTTAGAAATCCCTTAAGAGAAAATGCTATAGCTTATAGGGTTCATAAAGACTGCGAAATAGAAGTATGTGGAAAAACTATGTGTGCAGATCTTGTTAAGTTACCCATGAATGAATTCGATATTATACTTTGTATAGAGAGGTTCCATAAATAATATGGCTTCATGGATTATCGTAGTAGGGTTGTAAGATTCTGTTTCCCTAATGAAGTATAGCTGGTATGGGGGGCGGTACAATTTGAGTCGTTCAAGTCCCTTTATTTTATACCTAAATGCTAAAAAAATTATGTCCAAGGGATCATTATGCCATCTTTTGAGTGTCAATTATCTAGATCATGACATTCCTTCCATAGACTTCTTGCCTGTAGTGAGTGGGTTCAAAAATGTTTTCCCCAATCAATTCCCTGAAGTCCCTCCCCTCGAGAGATTGATTTTTATATTGACCTAAATCCCGATAACAAATCGATGTCAATTCATCCATAAAGAATGTCTCAAGCTTAACTCAAAGAGTTGAATAGGCAGTTAAAAGATCTCAATGATAAGGGTTTCATACAATCGACCATGTCCCCTTGGGGTGCTCTACTGCTGTTTATGGAAAATAAAGATTGAACCCTTTCGATATGTATCGATTATCGACATCTCAACAAAGTCACTAAAAAGAAAAAGTATCCACTTCCCATAATAGATGACCTATTCAATCAACTCCAACGGTGTAGTTTCTTCTCATAGATTGATCTTTGTTCCGGGTATGTTTGGAGATTCTGTTTCCCTAATGAACTAGAGTTGGTATGGGGGGGGGGTACAATTCGAGTCGTTCAAGTCCTTTGATTTTGAACCTAAAAGATAAAAAAATAATATCCAAGGGTTCATTATGCCATCTTTTGAGTTTCAATTATCTACATCCTGACATTCTTTCCATAGACTCTGTGCCTATAGTGAGTGAGTTCAAAGATGTTTACCCCGATGATTTCCCTGGAGTCCCTCCCCTCGAGAGAATTAATTTTGTGTCAACCTAGATCCCGATACCAAATTGATGTCAATTCCTCCCTACATAATTGCTCCATCTAACTCAAAGAGTTGAATAGTCAATTAAAAGATATCAATGATAAGGGTTTCATCCAATCGAGCATGTCCCCTTGGGGCGCTCTAGTGCTGTTTGTGAAAAATAATGATGGAACGCTTCAGATATGTATAGAATATCGACAGCTCAACAAAGTCACTACAAAGACCAAGTATCCACTTCCCATAATAGATTACCTATTTAATCAACTCCAAGGGTTTATTTTCTTTTCAAAGATTGATCTTCATTCCGGGTTTCATCAACTTAGGGCTAGGGATGAAGATATCCCAAAGACATCCTTTCATACCTGTTCTGCTCATTATGAGTTCCTGGTTATGTCATATGGCCTTACTAGTGCACCAACTAAATTTATGGACCTTATGAATCGAGTGTTCCTTGAATGCCTTCATTCTTTTGTCATGCTATTCATTGATGACATCCTTATCTATTCTAAGATCAGGGAAGAGCATAAAAAACATTATAGACTATCATTGAAGGTACTTAGACACATCATTTGTATGCCAAGTTAAGCAAGTGTGAATTGTGGCTTAGATCAATGACCTTCTTGGGTTATATTGTGTTTGATAAGGGTGTGGAGGTGGACCCTAGTAAGACAAAGGTAGTTAATAACTGGCAAAGACATCTTACTCCCATTGATATCCGTAGCTTTACTTGATCCAGGGTCTACGCTTTCTTTTGTGACTACCTTTCTCTATCTAACTTTTGAGACACTTCCTGAAGTTTTGAATGATCCTATCGTAGTTAGAACTCCCTTAAGAGAAAATGTAAGAGCTTATAGGGTTCATAAAGACTGCCAAATAGTAGTATGTGGAAAGATTATGTGTGTAGATCTTGTTGAGCTACCCATGAATGACTTCGACATTATACTTTGAATACAGAGGGTCCATAAATAATATGCCTTCATGGATTATCGTAGTAGGGTTCTAAGATTCTGTTTCCTTAATGAAGTAGAGTTCGTATGGGGGGGGGGGGGTACAATTCGAGTCGTTCAAGTCTCTTGATTTTGAACCTAAAAGCTAAAAAAATGATATCCAAGGGATCGTTATACCATCTTTTGACTGTCAATTATCTAGATCACGACATTCCTTCCATAGACTTTGTGCATGTAGTGAGTGAGTTCAAAGATTTTTTCCTCGATAATTTCCCTGGAGTCCCTCCCTTGGAGAGATTCATTTTTATATCGACATAGATTCTGATAGCAAATCGATATCAAATCCTCCCTACAGAATGGCTCCAGCTTAACTCAAAGAGTTGAATAGGCAGTTAAAAGATCTCAATGATAAAGGTTTCATCCAATTGAGCATGTCCCCTTGGGTTGCTCTAGTGATTTTTGTAGAAAACAAAGATTGAACCCTTTGCATATATATCAATTATCGACATCTCAAAAAAGTCACTACAAAGAAAAAATATCCACTTCCCATTATAGATGACCTATTCAATCAACTCCAAGGGTGTAGTTTCTTCTCAAAGATTGACCTTTGTCTTTGGTATCTTGTGAGATTCTTTTTCCCTAATGAACTAGAGTTTGTATGGAGGGTGTAGAATTCGAGTCGTTCAAGTCCCTCTATTTTGAATCTAAAAGCTAAAAAAATAATATCCAAGGGTTCATTATGCCATCTTTTGAGTGTCAATTATCTACATCCTGACATTCTTTTCATAGACTCTGTGCCTGCACCGAGTGAGTTGCAAGATGTTTAGCCTGATAATTTCCCTAGATTCCCTCCCCTCGACAGAATTAATTTTGTATCGACCTAGATCCCAATACCAAATTGATGTAAATTCCTCCCTACATAATGGCTCAAGCTAACTCAAATAGTTGAACAGTCAATTGAAAGATCTAAATGATAAGGGTTTCATCCAATCGAGCATGTCCCCTTGGGGCGCTCTAGTGTTGTTTGTGAAAAATAAAGATGGAATGCTTCGGATAATTATAGAATATCGACAACTCAACAAAGTCACTACTAAGAAAAGTATCCACTTCCCATAATATATGACCTATTCATTCAACTCCATGGGTGTAGTTTCTTCTCAAAGATTGATCTTCGTTCCGGTTATCATCAACTTAGGTTAAGGTATAAAGATATCCCAAGGACAGCCTTTCATACCCGTTCTGGTCATTATGAGTTCCTGGTTATGCCATTTGGTCTCCCTAGTGCACCAGCTAAATTTATTGACCTTATGAATCGAGTGTTCCGTGAATACCTTTATCCTTTTCTCATGCTATTCATTGATGATATCCTTTCTATTCTAAGACCAAGGAAGAGCATGAACAGCATTAGAGACAAACATTAAAGGTACTTAGACAACATCAGTTGTATGCCAAGTTTAGTAAATGTGAATTGTGGCTTAGATCAATGACCTTTTTAGGTTATGTTGTCTTTGATAAGGGTGTGGAGGTTTACCCTAGTAAGACAAAGGTAGTTAATAACTTGCAAAGACATCTTACTCCCTCTGATATCCATAGCTTTACTTGATCCTGGGTCTACGCTTTCTTTTGTGACTACCTTGCTTATCTTACTTTTGAGACATAACCAAAAGTTTTGAATGATCCTACCGTAGTTAGAACTCCCTTAAGAGAAAATGTAAGAGCTTATAGGGTTCATAAAGACTTCCAAATAGTAGTATGTGGAAAGACTATGTGTGCAGATCTTGTTGAGTTACCCATGAATGACTTCGATATTATACTTGGTATAGAGAGATTCCATAAATAATATGCCTTCATGGATTGCCGTAGTAGGGTTGTGAGATTCTTTTTCCGTAGTGAAGTAGAGCTGGTATGGGGGGTACAATTCTAATTGTTCAAGTCCCTTTATTTTGAATGTAAAAGCTAAAAAAATTATGTCCAAGGGATCATTATGTCATCTTTTGAATATCAATCATCTAGACCATGACATTCCTTCCATAGAATCTGTGCCTGTAGTGTGTGAGTTCGATGATGTTTTCCCCAATATTTTCCGTGGAGTCCCTCCTCTCAAGAGATTAATTTTTGTATCAACCTAGATCATGATACCGAATTGATGTCAATTCCTCCTTACAGAATGTCTCCAACCTAAGTCAAAGAGTAGAATAGGCACTTAAAAGATCTCAATGATAAGGGTTTCATCTAATGGAGTATCTACCCTTGGGATGCTCTAGTGTTATTTGTTAAAAATAATGATTGAACCATTCGAATATGTATCAATTATCGACAGCTCAACAAAGTAACTACAAAGAACAAGTATCCACTTCCCATAATAGATGACCTATTCAATCAACTCTAAGGGTGTAGTTTCTTCTCAATGATTGATCTTCGATTCGAGTATCATCAGCTTAGGGTTAGAAATGAATATATCCCAAAGACAGCCTTTCATACCCGTTCTGTTCATTATGACTTTCTAGTTATGTTATCTAGTCTCACTAGTGCACTAGCTAAATTTATGGACCTCATGAATCTAGTGTTCTGTGAATACCTTCAATTTTTTGTCATGCTATTCATTGATGACATCCTTATCTATTCTAAGATCAGGGAAGAGCATGAACAACATTTGATACTAAAATTGAAGGTAATTAGACAACATAATATGTATGCCAATTTCAGCAAATGTGAATTATGGCTTAGATCAATGACCTTCTTGGGTTATGTTGTGCTTGATAATGGTGTGGAGGTGGACCCTAGTAAGACAAAGGTAGTTAATAACTGGCCAAGACATCTTACTCTCACTTATATCCGTAGATTTTTAGGATTGGCTGGTTACTACCGCAGGTTCGTGGAGGGTTTTTCCTTTATGGCTTACCCACTAAAAACATTGACTAAGAAGACGGTCAAATTAGAATGGGCTGATACTTTTAGGAAGAATATCTAGGAGCTCAAGGACAAACTCACTTCAACCCCTTTACTTACGTTGCCTAAACTTGTTGTGGGTTACACTATTTATTCTGATGCATCTAGGGTTGGGTTGGTTTGTGTTCTTATGAAGGGTGGTAAGTTGATAGACTATGCGTCCAGACAACTCAAGGTTCTTGAGAAAAATTATCCCACTCATGACCAGGAGTTGGCAGTTGTTGTATTTGCATTGAATATGTCGAGTATTACTTGTATAGGGTGCATGTGGATGTGTTCATAGACCAAAAGAATCTCCAATACATGTTCACGCCAACGGAGTTGAATCTACGTCAGCAGAGATGGTTAGAGTTGTTGAAGGACTATTACATGAGTGTCAACTACCATCTAGGGAATGCAAATGTTGTAGAAGGTTATTTGAATAGGTTGAGCATGGGGAATATAACCTACATTAATGATTAGAAGAAGGAGTTAGTGAAGGATGTACACAGCCTAGCAAGACTGGGTATGCGGTTGATTGACTAGTGGGGTGTTTCTGTTCATTCTAGTTCTTAATTATCATTGGAAGTTGAAGGAAAAAAGGGTCAGAATTTTTATCCTGTGTTGATTGAGTTGATGGACTTAGTGTTGATAAATATGAATGATTCATTTTCTTAGGAAGGTCAAAGAGTATATAGGTTCTAGGATAGGCTTTGTCTACCTGACGTGGTTGATTTGCGAAGCAAGATTTTGTAGAGGCCCATGGATCCAGGTATTCGATACATCCAGGTTCCACCAAGAGGTATTATGACCTCAAGTAGATCTATTGGTGGGATGGCATGAAGAAGGACATTGTTGAGTATGTGTCCTGGTGTCCTAATTATCAGCAGGTTAGGCGTAGCACCTTAACATCGGTGGTCCCACTTAGATGATTGAGGTTCCAACATGGAAGTGGGAGGACATTAACATGGACTTCGTGGTTGGTCTTCTGAGAACTAGGAGACAACATGACTCTATATGGGTTATTGTCAATAGGATGACTATGTTTTCTCACTTTATCCCTGTGAAGTCTTCTTATAGGGCCGAGGATTATGATAGACTCTACATTGATGAGATTGTGAGGTGTAAGGGGATTCCTTTTTCTATCATTTCGGATAGAGGACCTCAGTTCACTTTGCATTTCTTGAGATCCTAACAGATAAGGTTAGGCATGTAGGTAAAGGTCAGTACTGTTTTCCATGCTAAGACAGATGGGAAGGCCGAGCGCACAACTAAAACATTGGAGGACATGTTGAGAGCGTGTGTGATTGATATCACGGGTAGTTGGGACGACTATTTTCCATTGATAGATTTCTCGTACAATAACAAATTTTACTCCAGAATCGAGATTGCAGTGTTTGAGGCATTGTATGGTAGGAGGTGTAGGTCTCTAGTTGGGTGGTTCAAGGTTTGAAAGTCATCCATTTTGGGTCGAAAGATCATTCATGAGGTCTTAAAGAAGGACAGGGTGATTAAGGACATTTTTTCTACTGCTTACATTCTACAGAAGTTTTATGCAAATAACAGGACGTGCCACTTAGAGTTTGATGTTAATGACAAGCTCTACTTGACGATATCACCCATGAAGGGGGCGAGGAAGATTGGTGGGAAGCGGAAGTTCAGTTTGAGGCACGATGGGCCATACGAGATTCTACAACGTGCAGGTGAGGTGGACTATGAGTTGGTGTTGCCTACGGAGCTAGCTTCTATTCATCCATTCGTTCATGTCTCTATGTTAAAGAAGTGCTTTGGTGATCCAGCATCGATTATGTCAGTTGAAGGTTTGAGGGTTGATGAAGACTTGTCCTATGAGGAGGTTCCTTTTGAGATTTTAGACCGGCAGGTGAAGCGTCTGAGAAGGAAAAAGGTTGCCACAATGATTAAATTGTGGAGAAACCATCTTGTTGAGGGTGATACTTTGGAGGCCAAGGCCTATATGATATTTCAGAATCCTAATATTTTTAGCTCTTGAGGTTAGACTTTGTACTCATAAGTCAAAGTTTTCTTATCTCCTTTATTATTTGTTGCTATTGCTTGAATGTGTAAAGTACTTATATTATGATATGACCGGCATTCTGCTAGATAATTAGAAGTGTCATTCAGGGACGAATGTTCCTAAGGGGGGGGGGCATTTGTAAAAACCCAAAAATGACTAAACAAAATAATGCCTAAACGTACCTACAATGCCTAAATTAAACTGGGTTCACACGGCTTGATGCACGCCGAACAAGACCTCAGAACCCATACAACGGCCAAGCCCACCAACAAGGTGAGTTAGTTGATCTAGGAAAGGTTTTGTCCATCCATGTAGGGAACCGAATATTAAGATTCACCCGGATGAACCTTAACCGGACTTGAAAGGGGTAAACATAGGTTTGGTCTTTTCCACTCTAAGGGAAGTGTTGAAATTACCCTATGTGTTTAATTAAGTAATTACTTAATTTTGTTAGGAAAGATTTGTGTCGGGTCGACACGAATTGACTCAGTTCACGAATTAGGCTTCACCTGACTCGATCCTTAGCAGAAGCAATATTAAGTTAAATTAATCCACTTTTGATTATCTAATTTAAGTAAGGGAGTGCTAGTCATTTCACTTAATTCATAGAGAATCGGATTTTTAATTTAAATAACAAAGAGTCCTAGTTTAACTAAGTCTTTACCTAAAACTTCTACTCCTAAACATACTCTCACATCTGTCCACTCTCATTCTCACTTCTCTCAACACTCATTCTCACGCTTCAGCATCAGTAAAAAAATAAAATCAAAATTTCATCACTCTTGAAGAAATTGTACGCAAAAACTCAAAAGAAAAACTAAACTAAAAACGAAAATAAAAAACATTTATCTCAACGAGTTGCGTGAGGTTTCGGTGGTGAAGCATTGTTTTTGTGGGAGTTGGAAGCATATTGCATTAGGTTTGGGTTGGCGTTGCAAGATGAAAAAGGTATGGGTTTCTTCCAATTGGTCCCTTTCCCAAGAAACCTCTCAGATTCAGTTGTATTCTAATCCGAAAACTAGGAATGTTTCCCCCTGTATGTCGCTTTCACTAGCTCCCATCGATTGTTGTATGTTGGGTATGTTTGGTGGTAGAATTTAGGGATGTTACTTGTTTTCATGATGATAACGTCCGTGTATGTATGCTCGGATTTATGTTATTGTTAAGTATGTAGTTTTCAAAACTATGTTAAAATGGCATGTTAAATCCTTGTGTTTTTGTATGCAATTACTTGAAGAGATTGTGATGTTAATGGGAGGTGTGATGTTGATGAATTGAGTTAAAACTCATGGCCAAATGTAACTACAAAAAATGCACATAATAATGTACAAAATATCCAGCGAATTGCTAAAGCAACTAACATATAAATGTTTAGAAAAGGCGGACTGAAAATGATCTGGAAATTTAGTTTTGACATAGGCAGCATTGAGGATTTGGGTTTCAAAAAAGTTTTAAAATGTGTGAGGTCATCAGGGATTGAACCCGAGACATCACTATATGTAAGATGTTGAAAAATTCAATAAAAAAGAGTTAAGGGGGATTCGAAATGGGGTAAGCCTCAAGTGAATAAATGAAAGAGGAAAAATAAATAAAATGAGGTGTGTCGTTCCCACACCCTCTCGGCCTCAAACTAAAAAGGAAGGAAAAAAGTGTATGTGTTGGAACTCGACCTTGGGTACCCAAGCAGAAATTTTAAATCAAAAATTCATATAAGAGTAAGTGTTGCTCAAAGGATTTGAAATCGGGTTCCCTTGCCCAATCTCATATTGATACATAATTCTTATGTGAATAAAAAAATAATTAATGCCCCATGTAGTAATCAAACTCGTGTCCTTGGCATACTTAGAAGATGCATAAGTCTTGTACCATATATTATTTGGTTAGTATAAGTCACTTAGAAGAATTATGAACGAAGCGCCATGGCTTGTGCGTATGGGTTCATAATCAAGAGGTGAATGATACCAAAGATGTTTAGATAGGATAATCAAGAGGTGAATTAGACTGAAGTAACGACACTAGTTTATTCTTAGTCATTTCACAGTGAACCCGATGACAGTCCTAACCAACATTCTATGTATATAAATGAATGAAAATGAAGTACGTAGGAATGAATGAAGCGGACTATGTTTTTGCAAAAGAAGGCGCTCTAGTTGAGTTCCCATATATTGAGCCCTCATTTGGGAAGTCCTAATATTAAGTACATGATTACAAGGTGACACGGCATACCAACAAAATATATTTTATATATTTATGTGCTAAATAAAATGTGTTATGTGTTGTGTGCAGTATGAAAACAGTGATGATACATGTTACTGTCATAGCATGACTTTCCTAATCTGATTTGGCAAGTCAAACTGACTTGTCTTTTCATAACTCATATCGTTAGGATAGTGATCTTGTTAATTATGCATATCCTTGGTGTGTACTTGCATAAACCAATACTTAGTACAAGTGTGTACTAATTCCATACAACCCTTTACATTTAGTTGCAGGTGCAGGTGGATGCTAGAGCATACGATACCACATTCCAAACTTGGTAGTCCCTCATTCTTTAGAGGATGATTATTTCTTATATTCTATAATAGACGTAGGCATGAGCTAGTGAAGGATGTTCCTCTACCGTTTCATTCTCACTTATTTTAAGACGTCGTATAGGTTCCATTTTTGCAACTTTATATTAATGCAGTTCTGAACTATTTCCTTCATCTGAATAACTTATTATAAGATGGTTGTTATAAACTGATGTGATATAATGCAACTATATGTATACTTCAAAGCAAAAAAAATTTATAAATTTACTACTAAAATTAACCTATATGATGTAATGATGACGTATGTAGGCTTGTCTGCAACCTCCACCAGGTCAACCATGCCGGTTTCTTCTAGATTCTAGACATCGGTCATGACATCGTACCCGTACGTTTCAACTACAAATCAACTCTAATACATTTTAAACATCTTACTACCGAATTTCGTTAAATTTCGACTCCTAAAACCTCATCAAATATACTAACGCATACTAGGACATGTTGAACTAATTTCCAGACGTCATGAACATTTATTGACTCTTTTGTTATAAAACATCCTAAATTATATGATATATTTGTCCTTAAACAAGTTTTACCCTTAGAATCTCTTGTGAGGCTCTAGATTAGGCTTTACCCTTTCGGACTTTTTCAATTCCCAAACCCCAATTCCTCTTCCTTCTCTCGAATTTCTCTCTCCAAAGGAAGAATCCATAGCAGATCAAGGTCTAAGGGTTACAGGGATTCACTAATATAATTTTTAACAATTAATACTCATAGAATATAAAGTTATGGTAACCTTTTTGACTTCTGGATTCGTTTCCCCAAAGGGTTCTTGCGAAATTGGTTTTGAAAAAGATGATTTCATATTAGTTTCTTTCTAATGCGAATTTTATTTCTAAATTGTATAATTGTTCAATTATGCCAATTCTTAATTATATAACCTAGTTTGGCGAGTAGATCATGAATTGACCCAAATTCTCTAGCTCTAGGTTATGAACTCATGTTTAAATAATTAGTATTGATACCATTGATTTAGTTATTGTGTAAATTTATATTTAATGACGTTGTGTAACATATTTATGGATGGAAGTGTTTAGGTTGAGGTAAGACCAATGATGATGAATTTTGAAGGAGAATTGGTAGGACTTTGTGATCATGAACCTTTACTTCAATTGTGATGGCTTATACTTGGTTATGAGGATTAATTGAAGCATTTCTTGGGATTGTATGAAGTTTGTATTGGTATGCTAATGCAATTGAAATGCCTTTATTGTGTGAAACTGTGAGATTTTGTTTAAGATTCAATAATATATGGTTTGTTATGAATTGTATATATTCCTTAGATGACATGATGATTTTAATGTGTTGATCTCACATATGAGGGGTTTATTGAAAAGACATTCTCATGCAATTACTAATGAGATTATGACTATGAATATACAAGGGGTTAGTCTCCTATGGCCTAATCAAAGTTATTATAGTAATAATGTGGCTTAAAAACATTTCAACAAGTTCATCTAGCTTAGCACCGACTGAACTAGTATTGAGAAGTGTCCCTTCCTTATGTGAGAAGGTAGGTTCACTATGATAATACTCATGAAAATGTAAACTATAATGCAATGTGCATAAAAAGGATCCCATGTATATCTCGTAGTTCTTGAACTATGTTTCCTCCAAAGGAGTTCTATTTAGTGGATCAACCTAGAATGCTATATTAATGTTTAAATACAATCTTGTCAAATAGTCCACCTTCTTACGGTGTAGGGTATCATGAAAAAAAATTCCACATTTAGCTCTTGCGTTCTATGTCGGCTAACATAAGTGTTACCAAAAGTAAAATTAAATAATAAAGTGAACATTAACTAGGGTTACTTTAGATGTTTACTCAATCTAGGTAGGGATGTGGGACTCTACCATTACATTGCACTAGGTTGCTTTGAGGGAAGTCCTAGAAGGTTGTTTCTCTGCTATATAAAGTAAATATTAAGCATATGTTTGAAATACACGTTGATGATCCTACATGATGTTACTTTCACTTATGAACATGCTAATTCTCTATATTTAAAATTATGATGATGATTACTCTTGATGCTATGTCATATGATGTTAGACAATTCTTGTTATCCGTTGTTTGGTTTACTAAGTTATGTATCGTTATGGGGCTTTGCTTGGTCATTGCACATGTAGACTTGATGGTGGGTTATGAGAAGAGGTCTCGCATATAATGTAATGTTATGAAATCTTATATGTGCATTGTTGATATAGAATGATGTTAGAGTTCTTTTTTATGTACTCAAAAATGTTATTATGCATGTTTACTTGATTAAACATAATGTTGTTAATATTTTGTTATTCATAGACGTCATGTTATGTTTTATTGTTTATGAAGATGACTTATGTTGTTGTGATCCGAGTCTCTCCCCTGTAAAGTCTCTTACCAAGATGATG